TTAATGCAGAAAAAATTTTATTCATGTGTTTTCACTTATCATATTATCCCATAAATGCTGATAAGTTTTTTCAAGCTGCGACAGATGTTATAATAAGGTAAGATTTGTTTGCAACATTTCTAAATAGACATTAAACAGGGTGATAATTTAAATACTAACTAATAACCCTCAACATCCTTTTAAGTCCTAGACATCTGCACAAAAAATATATGACAACTCCCACTTACGAAGTATCATTGGAAAGATTGCCATACACATCGTAGGTTTGATTGCTTAGTAATGATAATAATACTCTATCTACAATTCACCCCTTTGGCGAATGGACTTAGTATCCGTAGCCAAGGGAAACCTAAATTTAATCACACACAATTCACCCCCTAAGAGTAAACCCTAGAATTAAGAGGTATAATTGTGGTTAATATTTGTCATTGCACTAGGGATCAATTTTAAAATAATAATACTGTAGAGCGGTTTATGTCCATTTATGGGCCTAGACGTCCATTTAAGTGAGGTGGCCAGCATCAATATTCTGATGTGCCGAGAAAACCATTGGGAATTGACTAATCCCAAGCTACCATAACTAACGTAATCAGTAAAATACACACACTCGTTAAATGCGCTTTTTATTAACGCTAATCAAAGCAATACATTTACACTGCACTTATTATACAACTTTGACTTCTACTGGACTACTATAAATTAAACTACTAAATTTAAAACAGGGTGATACAATATAATTGTTTACATCTGTTACGATGGAGCTTTTACAATCGACTGATTTATTTTATTACAATTCGTGAAGTTATTAAATTATTTTTAGTGGGAAAACATTTCTTATAATTACGCCGCAGATGAAGTGGGACAGCCAAAACATTGCCTAATTTTGACTAGCTCTAACTTCGACATTTCTTTGCCGATGTTGAATTTTCAGCCTCAGGTGCAAAGCGCCATCCTTGCTGTTTGCGTCAGTGGCGTTCATTTTTTTTTTCAATCCCTTCTGGTTGTTCAGATTGTGTATATAAGGCAGCAAAAAATGTGGGGGGCCAAATCAAGTTCATTATGATCAGTAAATCACTAAGTCGACGCCTTGGGATATCTTTGCCATTTTTTTGATACTTTGCGTTGCTATGGAATTATCGTCATTTTATGAAATTCCGTTTTTCTTTAAAATTAGCCTTTTTAACACGCTTATATTAGCTTCACCTGTATGTATGTTTCTAACTCTCCTTTGGACTAAAATCAAGTGCTTATTACTGTCAGTATATCCCACTAACTTAAGTTCGTTTGTTGGCCGAGCGGTCTAAGGCGCAGGTTTTCGATTGCCAGACTCACAGATCGTGGGTTCTAATCCTCACGGCTGAAAAAAAATAATTTTTTTTTCAGCAATTTTTTAATAATTAATCGAACTAAAAAGTAAAAAATAAATATAGTTTAAAAAAACTAAAAAAACACGCTATTATAATACATCGAACTAAAAAGTAAAAAATAATTTTTGAAATAAGCTTAAAATGGAAAATACTAGTATTATTGTGAAAAAAGCGTGGGGCGCTTAGTCCATATTTCTCGTACATCGAGCGCCCGACGCTTTTTTCACAATAATACTAGTATTTTCCATTTTAAGCTTATTTGAAAAATTATTTTTCACTTTTTAGTTCGATGTATTATAATAGCGGGTTTTTTTAGTTTTTTTAAACTATATTTATTTTAATTAAAGAAATAACAGATACCGACTAAACTGCATCAAGGAATAACGTATAAAGAAAATGGTCAACACCACCGGCGTGCCAAAAGAGATTTATGAAATTAAAAAAAAACTTGATTTTATTTAAAAATTTTAACACTTCTTAATCGTTACAGTTTAAAAGATGCCATAACTGTAATGAGTTTGATTTTGACTAATTCAGAGCTCCAAAATCATCTCCTCGAGATCGTTTAGAGTTTCTGACTGACGTTCCCTTCAGGAAAACTCCAACTTCATCCAGCTCCAGACGTGCTCAATAGGATTCAAGTCTGAGGATCTAGGAGACAATTGAGTACGATTAAGATTTTGCTCTTGTAGATATCTGTTTACTCCATAATTTCGAGCATGCGGGAGAATTTCCGGAATCAGACATTCATTCAGGTAGACCTGACCGTTTACATTACCCCGAAATACCACGAGTTCTGTTCTTCCGTTGTGTTGAATACCGCCCCAAACCGTCAATCCACCACCGTCAAATGCAACTTGGGTACGCATATTTTCTTCTAAATAACGTTCTCCCCGTCTTCGCCAAGTTAGCAATCGGCCGTCGGAATTGTAGATATTGAAACGACTTTCATCAACGAAAAGACAGGCTCTCCACCTATGATCCCAATTTACAATGTTCTTGGGCCCATATCCTGTTAGCCCGGTGAATGTCCGTTAAAAGTGGACGTTTTGGCCGACGGCGAGAATTTAATCCCTGATCATGTAGGCGTCTTCTAATAGCATCTGCTGAAACATTGCGCTCGGATTCTCCGTTTCTGATTGCAGCCCGTTCTACTGCTAGATCCTGACGAGGATTAGTTATTTTTCCAGATCCTCCCCCGTGTCGGTAAGCACCAGTACCATTGTTACCTTATCTCTGCAACGTTCTTCCAACGGATGATTTCTTGACATTAAGGAACTCAGAAATCTCTTGGATAATTGCTCTGCCGCATTCTTAAAATTTTCACCAAATCTGCAGCCGTAAGTAGGACGTTAGCAATTTATTTTTGTTTCGACTTATCTAACGTCAAAACCTTATCTCCTTGGTATATTTGTCGCTTTAATAAAAATGCAGAAATAAAGTTTCATCAAAGCAAATGTCACGACATGCAAAAATGGTAGGTACCTATTATTGCTTACTGACAGTATCAGTAGGCGGTTACAGGATGAGTAGCTTAACTTTCAGAAACACGAAAACATGTTTTTAAAATATTGACATGTGAAAATCGCAAACTTTGGCATCGTACAACATAAAAACGGTTTTATACTTTTGCATGCCTCTGAATTAGTCAAAATCAAACTCATTACAATAATTATTATTTATAACATAAACATGAATAAAAATAAACTCTTAATTTTGTTAACACAAATAATATGACATAAAAAATCTGATGTATCAAACACATGACTTTCTTATTTAGTTAATACATGCTTTTTTCGGTTATTTTGTAAAAACTATTGTAGCACCTCTGTAAATGTTTAGAGGTTAACTTAATATATACATTTTCCACATACATCTAACTCAAAAAAAATTTCTATATATATTCATTGTCATCGAAAATACTAAAAAATCTGATGTGTCCAACACATGACTTTCCAATCTAGTTATTATAGTGTTAAGAGTGAGATTATGGGCCTTTGACTGACCCTTAGGTCCACTCTTAGCGGTAACCACGAGTTATTAGAGGGGCCCAATTTGTATTTATATTGGCCTCTAGACAACACACGGCTAGGGGGTTAAGTTCAGAAGGGACCCTAACTTCCTGACGGGGAAAGGGTTTGCCCTACGGGGACTCTTTCCTTTGGCAGTATCTCCCTCTCTCAGAGATCTGACTAAGCCAATACACCCGCCTTTGAATGATCGTAAGTGTTTATAAACCAGAGAAAATTGAAACAAGCGTAAGACAAATAACTGTGATTTATTTAACAAATAAAAACAACTAATATTGCTTCCGCAATCACGTAGTCTTTACTGACTACACAATAACTAAATATAACTACTTAAAACTATTTACTTACATAAGCACTATATTCTATGTGTTGGGCTGCAAGGCTGGCGGAAGCACACGTTACTTTTATCACTATGGTTTTACAAAACAAACTAATCACGACCCGTGACTCTTACTTTCGGACACGAAAAAAGGAATATACTTAATTCGAATAATTTCGACCGCTCGTCAACGAAGACCAAAAGGAACTCCCCGAATATCCACTTGTAATGTTTCAAGAGTGCTCTTGTTGATCTTTTTTTTTGACCCTGTACTTTAATATTATGATTTAATAAAACCTTGTCCAACTATACGTTCTATTATTTTATTGAATCTATGTTTAGCGCGCCTACCCTTGGAAAAAACTTTACAAATCATAACATATCTATTCACAGGGTGTTATATTAATTCGTAACATGTGCCTCCGCCCCGGAAAAGACTCGCCCTCGACCCTTGACCTACCTATTGACTAATCCTACCCTACTACGTACTACCTCAAAAATTTATTTTACAATACAAAAAAATTATATAGTTTTTTTCGGATAACAATTATTTTGTCCGTTGACACTGGGCTAGTCCGACTCTGCTGGTTAACACGTTCCAAGAATCCCAACTTCGCTCAGGGTGTCAGCTTCCATCAAGAGACAGGATGTGAAGTCATGCAGGCCTGTCGCATGACTCGTGATAAGGAAATAATAGGACTGTGATTTTCGCCGGATGACCGTGGTTGACCCGTCGGACGTGGAAATAAGTGAGGTATAACTTCCCATTATCAGCTGGTTTACATCGTGGGTTGATTTACTCGTATTGCAGTTGTGGTTTAATTTAATTTGGCTTGATTCTCCTCTGTGTGTCGTGTCGTTCCCAAGAAAAATGTCTATTGTGCTTCGGACATTCAGTGAAAGGTACCTTCGCTCTCGTTCGATGTGGATTATTGTGCTTAGAGTTTTATTTCGGGATCTAAGGTTCCTCAGGTTTGATGCAAAATTACTTGATATAAGTGAATATTTTGGTGTTGGTGAAGTTTGGATTATCTCTTTTTGTGGTAAGTACCTTTATCTTTTGTTTAATGTTTAATTTCTTTATCCTTTTCCTATTTCCATTCATTAACTTCCTTCTATATTTGTCATGTATATTTTCATCTATTCGTCAGGCATTCTCCTTATATCCTCTCGTTTATCCATCTCTCATTATACACTTATTCATTATGATAATTTTTCTTATTAGCCTAGGCGCGCTTTCCCAGGTAATACTGTGGAGGAATCTGTGTCAAGATTTAAACTGTGGCGCCATACTGTCAATAAAATTTGAAAAATGATTTAAGTTTACCACAGTTTCTTTCATAACTCATACATACAACCAATCACACTAATTTCACTGCACTTGCCTTAGGACAAAGAACTGCCGTCAGTGGTGTCCTCTCCCAGGATTCTTACAGTGCAGGAATGGGCCTGTCAGTCATCCAGGGTGCTCTGCTGCTCGTCTGCCATCTCGATCACAAACCTTCTTCTGTTCCTAGGAGCTGGCTGTGCCTTGCTGTACTCTTTCCAGTGTAGCACTAGTTTCACCACAATATATCCCAGGAGGGCTATCACCGCCAGGATCAGCATTCCAAACTGGATAGTGTTGTACATCGGCTCTCCTGTATCGGCTTGGGCTGCCTGTGAAACTGCCATGAAAGCGAACAGGTTACCCCTATGGAAAAGAAGATAAATTAAACCGCAACTTAAAATTATGTTCCTTATGAAGAACATGGTATCTACATGGTGCCCACCGATACCAACCGAGGGGCAGGAGGTAAGATCCCTAATATTATTTATAACTTCTTACACTGTTTCTGTTTGTCTGTCGCTTGACAGCTCTAGAAAGGAAAATAATATTTTTTTATATTCCTAAATTGAGTTTCCTGTATTTCTAAAAAAAAAATTTCTCCCGCCCACTCGTGTACTCCTTTAACCCTTTCCTATAGGTACTAAAGGTCTTCTCGATGGTTTTTATGTGGGTCTCCAGGGTCTTGAACGAGGTGGAGAAACACCTTCATCATATTTCCTAAAAGACTCCGAATTCTCTGCAGTTGACTTGATTGTTTGGGAGACCATATTTGTGAGACTTCCACTAGGCTGAACACATACATTGGCCATATCAACTGGATCAACCTATGCAGAAAAATCACATTAGTTACCCTTAAAATAAATAAATATATAAAATAAATTTAACCAAACAATCTTAAATTCTATTTTTCAACTAATAATGCTAAACTAGCGAAAATATCTTATTTAGGAGCTCCTTAAAATTTATCTATGTTTACCATTTATCGCTAACACTAATATTCATGAATACCTATATAAGTAGTAAAATGCAGCTGCCATTTGTGGGCGTCCAGCTGCCTTCTCGAACATTCCTGTGCCATAATCATGCCATTGTCCCTGATTCAACCCTTTTATTGGGGTTGATTCCTTCTAGGCATCGTTTTGGCTATAGGTATACTACAATTCCTTTTTTCCTGAGTTTGTTCCTTACTCACTTGGAGGGACCTATTTTTTATGCTTTTTTCCTGGGCATTTATCGAGATTCCTTTTGATCTCCCTTGAGTTCTCCTTTTTAACAAGTTTAGAGCTTCAATATCCCATATAATTACTATAAAATATATATACACAGTGTCTAACTAGCGGTACCTACTCGTTAAAACAAAAAAAATATTTTTTTTTTCTTAGCTCTTTTTCTTATTTACAGATCCTCGACGTCCTGTGGAGTTACTTCTGGTGTCCAAGGATCGTGATACGGCAGAATCCGGGTAACGTGGACCACCTCCCGTTTACAATTCGGGGACGGCCCCTTACGGATTTTGTAAGTTACTTCCCCTTTCTTTTTAGTTATAAAGTAGGGACCAAACCACCTTAATAATAGCTTCTCTGATCTCCCTACCTTCCGTATAGGTGTGAAGACCTTTACTTTGTCTCCTGGCTTAAAATCAAGCACTCGATGTGTGGAGTCATAACGGTCTGTAGCCTTAGATTGTCTGTTCTCTATGTACTCCACCGCTAGGCTTCGAGCCCATAGGGCTTTTTCCTAAATTTGTTTGATCTCCGAGCTTTTTATCTCCTGCATTAGGGCTGCTTCTGTAGGGAGGATAGGTTCTCTGGCATAAAGTAGCATAAACGGAGAGAATCTTGTATCCTGTATTGTGGTGTTGTAAGCGGATGTCACCAGGGGAAGATACTCATCCCAGTCGGTCTTCTGGGTGTTCACATACATCGATAGCATATTAGCGAGGGTTTTGTTAAACCTTTCTGTCAGTCCATTGGTACTAGAGTGGTAACTTGTCGAAAAACTGACTTACTGTACCCATAACCTTTGTCAATTCTGTGACCATTTCCGACATAAAGGTCCGTCCTCGATCGCTAAGCATATATCTAGGCGACCCATGCCGAGCTATGACGTTCTTTAATATAAATTTAGCCACAGGTCCGGCCTTTCCACCGCTAAGGGCTTCTGTTTCTGCCCACCTTGTGGCGTAGTCTGTGGCAACGATGATGAACGTTTTTCCATTCCTGCTTTTCCTAAATGGTCCGAGTAGGTCGATCCCTACCCGCTCGAATGGTTGCTCTACCTCTAAAGGCTGGAGTAAGCCCACTGGCCTCCTTGTTTCTTGCCCTTTTCTCGCTTGTCAATCGCTGCAACCCTTGACGTACTTCTCGACGTCCTTATGCAGGTTTTTCCAGTAAAACCTGCTCGCAACCCTGTGTAATATTTTTGTTATGCCTAGGTGGCCGGATAAGGGCTCATCGTGCATTGAGAACAGGACTTCCGCTACCAGGTGTCGGGAATTTCCAAAAGGTTATCTACTCCTGCTGTGTTGCTGTGCCTTATGTAGCACGCCATTTATCAATCTAAAATTCTTGGCTCTTCTAGCTACTCCCATAGGGACACTTGAGGGGTCTTCCAGAGCTTGAAATATTAGTGTCAGGTCCGCATCCTTTCTTTGCTCCGTTACTAGATGCTCGGGAAGGGCTAGCAATGTTGGGACTTCTTCCAGCTCACTTATGTCTGGTTCCAGGGTATCAGTCATAGGATTTCTGGACAGGCAGTTAGCATCGCTGTGCTTCTTTTCAAATTAAAATGTCTGACCATTTCATCCCTTTGAAGACTTCATCGGCTAGGGCTTGAAAAGTTGCCGGCGCGTTGCAGAGGCCAAAAGGACATTGAACTCGTAAGTCCCATGCCCCTGAGCGACGAATGCTGTGTATGGCTTAGATCAGCGATACTCAAGCTTTTTTTCCTTCGGGCCACATACATATGTTTGCTATGTTACACGGGCCGCAACATTTTTTTAATAATGACCTTTTTCGGTCGTTCATTTAAAATTAGTTAGTGAGGACCTGGTTTTACGTTTGTAATAAATAAAACAAAAAAACTAAATATATTCAAACGTTTATTAAAAGCTTAGTGTGATATCTGATACTGAGATAAACTGTTTACTATTTTAGACAAATCTGCTACATGCTACCCTCAATACATCATCGAGGTGAGAATCAGTAAGTCAGTTTTTATATACATTTTTTGCATATTTCATTTTGGAATACGATGATTCACAAAGATACGTTGATGCAAACAACGTGAGCAGTAGATGGGCACATTTTTTTACAGTTATGTATTTTTCAGGTACTAATTTCCAAAATTCAGTGTATTCCTCTCCCTCTCTCTTTTCTTTAAAAATAACTTTCAAATTCGTATTGTTCTTAAAATCGATAAATTCATCGAAAAACCTTGCATAATCAAATCCCAATGGAGCTAATTGTGTTATAGTTGTTGTTTCTATATGCCAGACAATTCTTGATACACCGTAAATCCTGAAATCTACTCTCGAATTCCTTGGACAAGGCAGCTAAATAATTTAAAAATATCGCATGGTTTTCTCGATAAATAGATATACCATCTTGTTTAGCTGTAGTTACGGTTGGAAAGTTATGAAATACTTTATTCTGTATTTCTTCGTAGTACGTTTTTAATTTCTCTTCAAAGGCAAATACTTTATTCGCCATCTGCGAAATAATTTTATTTTCACCCTGTAAGCCACGATTGAGGTCACTAAGTTTTTCTGTGATGTCGCATAGAAAAGCTAAAAGACACCACCATTCATCATTTTCAAATTCGCTATAAATTTTATTGTTTTGTTGTAAAAACAAAATAATTTCCTGCTTTAAAGAAAAAACCGTTCGATAACTTTTCCTCTGCTTAGCCATCGCACCGAGGTATGTAAAAGAACGTCGCCATAATAACTGTTCATTTCTTCCAAAAGATTTTTAAATTTTCTGTGGTTTAGTTCTCGTGCTCGGATATAGTTCACTATATTTATTACAGTTTTCATCACGGCGTCTAATTCGGCAATGGAGATACGTGATGCTAAGTTCTCTTGGTGAATAATACAGTGAAAAGACAAGAGATTCGTTAAATTGTACTTCTTTTTCAATAAAGAAATAAATCCCTTTTCGGGTCCGGTCATAGAAGGACATCCATCCGTGCATACACAAACCAATTTTTTAATTTCGATATCATTGTTTTTTAAAAATGTACTAATAACATCGAGATAATCCGTTCCTCTGGTTTGATTCTTCATAGGAAGAAATTTCAAAAAATCTTCGTGAATTGAATTTTCGGTACAGTATCGAACGTAAACTGAACATTGTGATGTTGCTGAAATATCGGTGCTAGAATCGAAAGCCAACCTAAAAAATGTACAATTTTTCAAATCTTCTATGATGCGATCAGAAAGATGTTTTGCTATATCTTTAATTCGTCTAACGCACATAGAATCAGAGAGTTGCATGTGTTTGATTTGCGATATTATTTTATTTTTATTGCTAAATTTGTCAAATAATACATTGGAAGCACTGAGAAAACATTCCTTCACAATCTCTGCGTCAATAAATGGTTTCATATGTTTACCAAGTATGTAACAAATTTCATACGATGCTCTTGTCACCGCTGAATCTTGGGATATTGCCACTGACATAACATTTTGTTCTTGTTGCAATGATTTCTTAAAGAAAGTTAACTTTTCACATCTTATTGAAGAGCTGGGAGGAAAAGTGTCATTAAATGATTTATGTTTTTTGGTGTAATGACGAACAATGTTGTATTTTTTTAATGTAATACTTTCACGACATATCAAACATGTCGAACGATGATTATTTGCAACAACAAAGTATTCTTCTTCCCAATTGTCTTGAAATGCTCTATTTTCATCACATATTTTTCTTTTGGATTTTAAAGAGGCTTCTGCCATTATGGGTAATTAAATCGTAATAAAATATAATTCGTTACAAAATAGTCAGGTATGCTGCATGAGTTCTAAACAAAAGGTAATTAAAATGAATAAACAAAACAGTTAAGCATCAACGTTATTACTCAACTGAACTAATCACTAAACATGTTAGCACTAGCGCGAGCGTGTCCAGGAACGGGCATGCGCGTGGTTAGAGGAGAGTGGTACCGCCTGCGACTTAAGGTAATACGTATCAAGCTAGAAAAGCACCTTTGGATTTTTTACATTCTGAGTATGTCATAATTATAGGCTTATTTTAGGCTAATTTTATACCAACAAAAAAATTTTCTGCTCCCTTCTTTAACAGAAAAATTAAGTGCTCTGCTAGCTTGATATCAAGCTAACAAAATACCTTTGTATTTTTTTAAATTTAAATTACGTCATAATTTTAGGCTAATTTTATAGCAACCTAAAAAAAATCTGCTTTTTTCTTTATAGAAAAAATTAGGTACTCTGTTGGCTTAACAACAAATTGCGTTTTTCATTAAAACATTCAGCAACATAAAAATTTTTCACTCTGGCCTCTATCGGAAAAATTCGGTGCGCTAGCTTGAAAAAACGACTTTATAGTGTTTTCCGTTAATAAAATTGGGGAAAATATAAAATAGATACGGCATAATTTTAGGCTTATTTTTAGGCTAATTTATTACTAACAAAAAAAATTCCGCTCTTGCTTTTATTTGATAAATTAGGGGCTCTGTTAGCTTGAAAATACGACTTATAGAGTTTTTCGTTAAACAATTGAAATATCTAAAAAATGTAAACTTTATAAATTTAGGCTCATTTTGGGATAATTTTATACCAACCAAATTAGGTGCTCTGTTGGTTTAAAATGAGCCTAAAATTATGTAGTGTCTATTTTTCAGTTTACTCAATTTTTTAACGGAAAACACTATATAGTCGTATTGTCAAGCTTACAGAGCACCTAATTTTTCCGATTAAGGCCAGAGTGGAATTTTTTTATGTTGGTAAAAAATTAGCCTAAAATTAACATAAAATTATGCCGTTATAATTTTTTACATTGCTGATTTTTGTTAATGAAAAAAGCAATAAGTACCTGTTTTTAAGCCAGCAGAGTACCAAATTTTTTGTATAAATAAAGGGGCGGAAGTTTTTTTAGGTTGGTATAAAATTAGCCTAAAATTAGTCTAAAATTATGGCGTAATCAAAATTTTAAAAATCCAAAGGTGCTCTGCTAGCTTGATATCAAGCTAGCAGAGTACCTAATTTTTCCTGTAAAGAAAGGAGTGGAAATTTTTTTACGTTGGTATAAAATTAGCCTAAAATGAGCCTAAAATTGTGACATACTCAGAATGAGAAAAATCCAGAGGTGCTCTGCTAGCTTGATACATATCTTAAGGTGGGATTTCCAAGCGACGTCCAGCTTTCGCTGCCTAGTGTTCTAATTGACTGCAGTTTAATTAAAAGTTGCTTGTTGCCATAATGAATAGGGATGTTCTAACAGCATCAATGTTATTGGAAGAATGATGATGACATGAAGATTTAATTATCGATGCGCGAAGAAGCAAGTAAATTGTATAAATATTGAAAGGAAGAAGGGTATTACAAGATCCTTATACGAAATCATCTAAATGTTTGTTACATTTTGAAGTAATATTTACCATGCATATTTTAAATTGAAATAAATGTGACTGCTGGGGTCAGCGTTCGCGTCTTGACATGTTTTTGAGCAATCGCGACTCGGCGGCTGACGGCCGGTCGCTGAGACGATAAGTGGAGACGTTTCCAACAAAACAGTTGCATTTAAAATGCGTTGTATGTTTTTGAGCAATCGCGACTCGGCGGCTGACGGCCAGGCGTCGCTGCTGGCCGCGAACGCTGGATGTCGCTAGGAAATCGTACCTTGAGAAACCCAGATTTTAGTTTTAAAAAGCATCTTCCTAATAATTGTGTTGCGGGCCGCACAAAAAAGCTTGGCGGGCCGCAGGTTGAGTATGGCTGGCTTAGATTGTTCTTCTATGGGGACCTGCCAGTAACCGCTGAACATATCCAGGGTAGAGAAGTATTTTGCACCTCCCATATATGTTAAAATGTCATCCATATTTGGCAACGGGTAGGACGACTTCCTGGTTACAGAATTGAGTTTTCTGTAGTCCACACAGAATCTGTAGGTACTGTCTTTCTTTCGGCAAAGTACTACTGGACTTGCCCACGGAGAGTGGCATGGTCTTATAACGCCATATTCCAGCATCTCATTTATCTGCTCATCTATTATTTGTCTCTCCTTTTGAGACACCCTGTATGGACGGCTCTTTATAGGGCTCGCCTCACCTACGTCAATCGTGTGGGTTGCCAAGTTTCTGCGACCCATGTGCCTGGTTAATTTTGAAGAAACATTGTACTCCGTTAGTAACTCTTTCAACTCTCTTCTCATTTTTTCATCGGATATGTGATATATGTTTTGGTCGGCTAATGTCACATCTTCTTCATCGGTTTCCGTATAGGAAACGTACAGATAAAAAAGAAGTGGAATGTTATTCATCGCTCTACAGTGTGCTGCGGTCGTCATAAGTAAAAGTACAAGTAAAAGAAGGTAGAATATTCCAGAAATGTCATTACCCGTCAAGAATATTCTAGATGACAGTTCGAGAAGGTCAAGCAAGCTATATAAGTCGACGACCTGACGTCAGAGTTTCAGTTTTATGATAGACGTTACACGTTAATGTTATCAGTTGTATAATTATTGGTAAAGTTGAGTTAAAATAAATTGTGATACCAAAAACCAGCGTAACATTGATGACAGCAGTGGGATACAAAGTAAAAGTACATGGTAAATACTAGATCCATTGAGTACGAAGCAGGCATGGATACTTCAGGCCTACCTGCATGGTTTTTGAAGATGGAAGAGGAAAATAAAAAGCGCAGGAAGGAAGAAGAAGAGGAAAAGGCAAGGCGTAGGAAGGAAGAAGAGGAGGAAAAGGAAGGGCGTAGGAAGGAAGAAGAGGAAAAGGAAATGCGTAGAAAGGGAAGAGGAGAAGGAGAGGCGAGAAGAGGAGAAGGAAAGACGCAGGAAAGAAGAGGAGGAGGAAAAGGAAAGACGCAGGAATGAGGAAGAAAAAAGGAAGGAAGAGAGGCGTAGAAAAGAAGCGGTTGAAATTATGAATGGTTTGCTGCAAATACAAGAAGACTTTAAGCAAGAGGTAGGTCAGCTAAATAGCCGAGTAGATCTCTTAACACAACAACAAGATAATTTAGAACAACAGCAAGATAATCTGAAAACTAATTTAGAGAACTTAAAAACGAATTTAGAGCATCAACAAGAACTGACCAGAATAGAGTTTGAAAGTCAAATTAGAGAGTTACAGAGAAGAATTCGTAGTCAAGCTTCCGTAAGAAACATTGAAGCTGAAAACACTACCTCATCTTCATCCATAAGCGAGCCAAGCCACATTCGAATCCCAGTTTCACAAAACTACTAGCAAGACTCTTAAGCCACTCACGTTTGACGGTCAGACAACATGGGAAACATATCGACTCCAATTTGAGGCTGCAGCTAGAGCCAATGGCTGGACCGAGAAAGAGATGGCGGCTTCATTAATAGGGTCCCTGCGAGGTCAGGCAGCAACCGTTTTACAATTACTTTCCTGAGAAGGACCCAGTTATTCATCTCTTGTCCAAGCTTTAAAGACAAGATATGGCCAGCAGCATTTGAAACAGGTATTCCAAAGCCAGCTAAAAGTTTTTATTGATGGACTACAGGATGTGGAAATGCAGCAGGCTCTTCGGCTACAACACCACAAGACGTTGAGTGAGACCCTGATTGCAGCTCAGGAATACGAAGCAGCAAAAACTATATCTAGATCTTCACGTGCTAAATTGAGAGAAATTAGATTCTAGGAAAGTGAAGAGGCCACTACTAAAACTATCCTTCGACCTACCCTCTCACAAATCCTAAATATCCTGCAAAATATGCAACGAAATAGCCAAAATGAGAGCAGACGATGCTTTAATTGCGGAAGAATCGGACACCTTCAAAGAACCTGTCGAAGCAGGGCTCGTTCTATCAATCGAGAATCAGAGAATGATGCTAGAAATTCACCTAAATCAACCTCCCGAAGCCCGTCACGAAGTCCAACAAGGAATAATTATAGCAGATATGCCTCACGGAGAATCCGGTCACCCACACCTAGCCGGCTTTCTAGCAATAATCAGAGAAACAAAAAGGCCGATACTATGGGGCGGGCGTCCACTGTAACAGAGGGCTCTAAAATTCGAACTTACACCTGAAATAAAAATGAACAAAATTTACAACCAAGAAAGCACCTTCGTCATAGATACTGGTGCCACCAAGTCTTTCATTCGAACGGGGATCCTGCATCGAAATCTGCGAACGACTCAAAGAAGTCTAGTTCTGGAAACCGCTGCAGGGCACACTACTCCTGTTTTGAGCGAGATATTAGCAATCATACAAATTGGTAATACCCTGATAGAACACTTATTCCTGGTGGCCGATATTAAAGATCAATGCGTCCTTGGTATGCAAGATAATTTTATCATCGACCTTCAAAATAAGATTTTGGTAATTGGGAACGAGGAAATCGTCCTAAATTCGGAGGAAAAGACTCAACCGATAAAAGTCCTAGTGGCAGAAGACATAGAAGTACCACAAAATGGTGAAGCTGTTGTCTCGGCTAAGCTTAGCGAGAAATCACACGGCTTACGTGTAGGCATTGTGGAAAGTGAAGAATTTGTCAGTAAAGGAATTCTGGTAGCTAGATGTCTCGTTAACGTTGATCAACCAATTCCAATAAGGGTTGCCAATTTATCAAAGAGGTCATTCAAACTAAAGGAAGGACAAGAAATAGGGATCTGTACACCGGTGGAAAACATAACCAAGTGCGAAGACCGTTCCACGGGGAAAGCCACCACAAGTAACTTAGTTGACGCCAGCTTTGTAAAACAGCTAGTTAAAAATTATGACCACCTGACAGCTGAAGAAC